TAAACTTTAAATTGGGTCATTTACAAAATGGGGGAAATCTACTGCTCCAGAAACATAAAATTAGACCTTTATACTTGTTAAATTCTAAAAATTTAAATAAGTTGAAACGCAGTTGCGTAATCATAAAATAGAGGTCATTTTCAGAATCTACGGTTCCGAAAACATAAAAGTAGACCTTTAAATTGGATAAATTCGAAAAACTTAAATAAGTCAAAATGCAATGGCGTCATCATTAAATGGATGTCATTTTCAAAATCTACGGCTCAAGAAACATAAAAGTAGACCTTAATATTGGATAAATTCGAAAAACTTAAATAAGTCAAAACGCAGTGGCGTAATCATAAAATGGAGGTCATTTTCAAAATCTACAGCTCCGGAAACATAAAAATACACCCTCATATGAAAAATATCCGAAAAACTCAAATAAGTCGAAACGCGGTGGCCTAATCTTAAAATGGAGGTCATTTTCAAAATCTACAGCTCCGGAAACATAAAAATACACCCTCATATGAAAAATATCCGAAAAACTCAAATAAGTCGAAACGCGGTGGCCTAATCTTAAAATGGAGGTCATTTTCAAAATCTACGGCTCCGGAAACATAAAAATACACCCTCATATGAAAAATATCCGAAAAACTCAAATAAGTCGAAACGCGGTGGCCTAATCTTAAAATGGAGGTCATTTTCAAAATTTACCGCTCCGGAAACATAAAAATACACCCTCATAGGAAAAATATCCGAAAAACTCAAATAAGTCGAAACGCGGTGGCCTAATCTTAAAATGGAGGTCATTTTCAAAATCTACAGCTCCGGATACATAAAAATACACCCTCATATGAAAAATATCCGAAAAACTCAAATAAGTCGAAACGCGGTTGCCTAATCTTAAAATGGAGGTCGTTTTCAAAATCTACGGCTCCGGAAACAAAAAAGTAGACCTTTATATTGGATAAATTCTAAAAACTTAAATAAATCAAAACACAGTGGTGTAAACATAAAATAGATGTCATTTTCAAAATTTACTGATCGGGAAACATAAAAGTACACCCTTATATCGAATAAGTCAAAAAAACTTAAATAATTCGAAACGCAGTCACGTAATCTTAAAAAGGAGGTTATTTTAAAAAACTACTCATACGATAACAGACCCACGCATCGAAAAATTAAAGATAATTAAATAAATAAAAAAAGGTTGAATTTGAAATGGAAAAGGTTTAATTTGAAATGGAAAAGGTTGAATTTGACTTGGAAAAAGTTTAATTTGATATGGAAAAGGTTGAATTTGACTTGGAAAAGGTTGAAATTGACTTGGAAATGCTATATAAAACAAGCATAGGGAAATAAAATATTATAAGTAAACAAAATAGTTTCTGGGGGTACTTAAAGAGTTCTCTTAGGTACATTTTGTGATCAGTCGGATTGGGAAGGTGCTTAAAGTGGAGAGGTTTGAAAGAGGATACTGATTGTGCATTTCGAATATTGAGAGGAATATAATTCCAGTGGAAGATAGCTTGAATTACGAAGGATTTGTCAAATGCAGCAATTTGGTGAGAAGGAGGAAAGAGGTTGGATGTACAGGATCTAGTGAGAAGGGATTGAATGGAGTTTTTAAATTGTAGGCTCTGAAAAATATAGGAGGGTCCCTGAGTTCTAATAACCGGGTATAAAAAGGTAGCAATGAAATATTGATGGTGATAGGGTGGATAGAGCTACTTCAAATCTGTGTAATACTGGGTAATATGCACACAGTAATGAATTTGAGGAGTTAGGGGGATCCAATCAAGATGGCTTTTGTCTTCTCGTCATTTAAACTGATTAAGGTTCGCCCAAGCACATATTTTATTTAATATCTTCCTGGAGTTTTAGGATGGCACCAGAGGAATCATCCAGATTGAAGGAGAGGTAAATTTGGACGTCGTCGGCATACAGGTGGTATTGACAGATCAGAATAGAGGTGAGGAGGTCATTGATATAGGTGGGGATAAGGGTGGAAAATAAGGAGGAACCTTGTGGAACGCCTCTGGGCAAGAGTAGAGACTCTGATAGAGGATTATTAGGGACCACAACATACTGGGAGCAACTGGTATGGAAGCGACCGGTATGGTTTGTAACCAATTAATTTCACTAGAAGATAAGAAGATTATTTAAGTTTGGTTAGGAAGATATTAGGGTCTACTGAATCAAAGACTTTGGAGAAGTCATGGACAATAAGGATGGTGAGTTTCTGCTGGCCCATGGCTGTATGGAGGTTTTGGGAAATTTTTATGAAGGGCGGACTGAGTGGATTAGCCAGGTCAGAAGAAAACCGGACTGGAAGGTGCTTAGGAGGTTATTCTGTTATAAAAAGTGGGATAACTGGGTTTTAACTAGTCACTCTGAAGGTTTGAGAGGAGGGAAATTGGACTGAAATTTTTAAGAGTTGATGGGTTGGATGTCTTCTTCAAGTGGTGAACTAGTGCGGTTTTCCAGAATGTAGAGAAGGTAGTATTTTGCAGATATGATAGAGGATTGGAAGAATGGATGGTAGGATGGCTTTAATCATTCTGACTTGGATGTCATCGGGACCATAATCAATGGTATGAGACTTCTGAATGGAGTTAGGAGGTCATCAGAGGTAATGTGGGGGAAAAATAAGTGGTCAAGATTAAAAGGGGAATATATAGGAGCCAGAATGGGCTTAGGGAATGAGGAGGAGAAAGGATAGTAGACAAAGTGATTAAATATATACAAGGAGGAATTTACAAAAAATCCACATTAGTTTTGATGAAAATAGATTTCCTATTTACCATATAAAAATGATAACAATAATGTTATCATATGTTGGTTTATTATTTTGTTTCAGTATTAATTGTAACATAATTCCCACGTAGAAAAAAAAATTCTAACTCTAAACATTATTTTACAGAAGTTTCTGATATTAACTTAATTTACTTCTACAAATGCCTAATATATTGATTGATATGCATTTATTAACAATAAAAATTATTATTATATTATGTTAAAATTGTTGACTGTGGTTTCAGTCTAACATACATATATTAGGTGGTGGATGGTCAAAATAGAATTATTTGTTAATTATTATCCATCAGGAAGTCTTTACAGAACAATGAATGCCTCAATAGTAGGTAAAAGACCCTGTGGAAGGTAAAATATCAGGTTGATAGTTTAAATAACAAAGATGCAATAAAGCTGCATGCAGATAACTGGAAAGAAATAGCTTAAGATAGGCGGAGATGGAGGAGGCTGGTTAAGGTGGCAACAGATCTCTAAGGTCTAAAATGCCAACAGAAAAAAAAAAAAAAAAAAAAAAAAAAAAAAAAAAAAAAAAAAAAAAAAGGAGGAGGAAGATAATGTTTTCTTCAAAAGGGTAGCAATAATTATAATTTTAAAATTTGATTACTTAGCAACGTCTTACAAACCAGAAAGTTGTGAGTTCAAATACCTGGATTCATTATGAAATTAATACCATACTCCTCATGATATATAGTGCCAACCAACCAAAATATGTAATTAAATAAATCAAGATTACCTCAAGTTTGATATGAGCTTGCTTGCATATGGCAATATGGCTTCCAACATTTGCATAATCTTTATGATGAGACAAAAATTCATTCCTGCATACCAAAATCTCTCTAAGCCATTTTAATATATCAGTATAATTCACAATTTGGTGTTGAATTAATTTTTTAATTAATTAAGGGGGGGGGGGTAAAGTTAGAAAGGAGAAAAGTTAAAGATATATAGACAGAATATGAGTAAAAAAAATAAATATGAAGAAAGTTACTTTATCATTACACTTAACCACATTGTAAGCCAATGCTAAATCAATGAAAATTGTTAAAACAATTAAAAATGTAAAACCAATACAATAATGTAACCTATCTAAAACAAATTTTAAAAAATAGGAGCAACTCAATGACCTTGTAGGAAAATGAATCACTGCCTGTCTGTGAAAATGGAATTATATAGTAGAATAGAATCTGTAAAGCACTTGTAAATGTCTTAGAGCACTGCACTACATCATTCCATTTTACTATTGGAGTGATCCTCAGTGGCTAACTTTAAGCTGTTTTAGGGCTCTATTAAATTGTTTTGTGATTTTTAAAAATGTGGACAATCAGGATCAAACATCTGCTGAGGTGTTTTTTTAGACTAAACTTTAGACAGTTTTTATTTATTATTACTAAGTTATAATAATAATAAAATTATCGACCTGTAATTGCTGTTTCATTAAAATATTAGTCACATCAAATATGTTACAAAAATATTTTTATGAATTACAACTTACAATTTTGAATTGTTTCTATTTATTTTTGTTTTGTCCCATTAGTTATCAAGAGTTATGTTAATTTGTACTTTGAAATATATGTAGACTGTAAATATTATAAGCTTAGAAACATTTTCTATTTTATGATTAATTCCATTTGTGACCAGAATTATCCATTAGCTATTGTAAGAAACTTTGCTAAGCGGTGTTCACTCTTCTGACTGTTAATATAACATTCAGAGATGATATTCATTAATGCCTGATATTTTAGTATTTGTAAGTTAAAAATAGTTTTGAAAATCGTCTGTGGGAGCATGAATCAATCTACCTAACAGTAAAAGTGGAACTATAGAGTGGAGTGAACATACCTGGGACCCATGAAATTGTCTTCACTCAAATCGCTCTCCTCTCATTTGGAGGAATTGTCAGTAGCCGCCTTAATAGGTTTGCTACATATAAAAAGGCATGTTACCTGTACATACGCCTTAGTATTGTTTTGTTAGATTTCTTGTCAATAATGATTTCATTCATTTTTCAATATTAAGCATCATGTTTTGTATTGTTATTCAATTCCTAAAAAACAGAATAAATAAGAATATGAAATTATTGAAAAAGTTCTGTAATTATTAAAAGTAATCTCAGATATGTGTGATGTACATTTATTCATGTAGTATAAAGGAAGATTCTTACCATAAATAATTAACATTTATACTATATTAAACTTTAATTGTAGAAAGTATTTGAAGAAATAGTTACCTCTGATGGTGGAACACCATGTTCTCCAAGACACTCCAAGAAGAAACAATTCATTGAAACTGTGAAACGCTCGATAGGACCTCATACCTCAAGTAAGCAACTAACCGAAGCAGCAGCTGTGACATGTGTTAAGCTTTGTAAAGCAGTATCCTATATCAATACCAATACTGCTAATGTTGCATTTACTTTAGTCCAGACTATTATTACTGATTTGAAGGTAATGGAAATTTTTTTTGGTTTTAGTAGTGATGATGTTGATAGTGAATGTAGTAGTTTTGATAAATAACCTTATTTAGGTTATTATTATTTTTTTGTGAGATTTATTTTATATAATTATTATACTTAATCTATATATGATTATGTTTTTACTAAAACCCTTTTTTTCTCACAATCTTTTATTTTACATTTCAAACAATAATATACATACAATTTTTATAATAACATTTCGACCATTTGGCTATTTTCAAATATATTTATTACACACATTTACACCACCTGTCCACATTTTATTTGTAAAGTTTCTACTTGTCAATTTCATTCAGATAAAGTAAAGCTTTCCTTTTTGCAAACAAAAATTTATTGGTTGGCAGCTATACTTTTCTTTCTATAAAACAGGAAAAACTTATTTTTTATTTTACTTTGTACATTTTCTAAAATTAATCTTTAAATAAATAAAAATAATATTTAAGTATTAACTTTATATAATGTGTTTTTTCTTTGTTTTTTGACATTTTATAGTTTTTTACATAATAGTTTAGTTTAGATGAAATTTTTCATGTTTTGGAATAATCAGAGCCCATATTTTATATTAATCATGCAACTAGCCAAACTTTATGTTATATATGTTTGCATATTTGATGATAAGTGCATATAATTACATATTTTGATTATTCTAACTCAGGCTATCATTCTGCTTTTTCCTCAGCTTTTTGTAGGTTTCAAATCTATTAGTCATGTGAACACAAACTATGCATTGCACTTTCTTCATTGTTCTGTCATACTACAATCAGACATGTCAGCTTCGCTGGTATTTCCATTTCTAAAATAGCTATAGCTCATAGCATAGTATAGCTCATTTCTTTTTATACTATCATAGGTCATTCGAAAGTTGATGAACAGGTGATGTGTATGGATATTAAAATCCTTACACCTCTCCAGAATGCTTCTGATGGAGAATATCTGGTCTATGGTTGTCTTTCCTCTCATAAGGTTGTCTGGTACTTTCCTATATTCTATTAAGCAAAAAGTAGTAGTTTTTTTATAAAGTATCTGAGAGAATAGCTTATCAACACATGGTAAGAGGGATATACAGCAATAATAATTAAGCACATCCCCCTTCTTGTAAATTGGCAGATAACTGCTTTGTACCATTCAGAAGGGATTCTCTCTTTCTTCCAGACATCCATTATAGAAAAATGTCTCTAATTCTTCTCCATGCTTAGACAGTTCTGCAGGGAGCCCATTCTGTCCTGTGTCTTTATTATTTTTCATAGACGTTCCTTATCAGGGGGCTCCAATGACCCTGGGGTCAATTCTATTTCCTCTCTTCCTTCTTCTGCCACATCCAAGGAATGTCATATCAAAGAAATGTTGCCTCTGTTCCAGAACATGCATCTTGTTTGTGATGAGATTTCCCTTGTTGTCTCTACAAGCATTTATTTATGGTTTACATGTCTGTCAGCTACTGTTTATTTCTTGATAGAATTTTCTTACCTCATTATTGTTCCAGTTGTTTTCCATTTGTTGGAGACGTTCCAATTGCCATGTTCATTTTTCCATCTGGTGGATATGTTTCTCTTCCCTTCTTCTGGATCTGTATTCCCTAAACTTCTCCCTCAACAATATTGTACCATTCATATTCTGATATTAAAAGATTTCTTACAGCTATAAACCAACTGTAGTCAATTATGATAACCAACTAACCACCCTAGAAATGTTTTTATAAAATATATGATAAAGTGTGGAAGATAAAAGAACTTTTGCAAATGTTTTTTTTTATCAAAGTTGAGCTATTCCTTTGTCATATTTCTTGCCAAACTTAATTTATAATAGGTTTTTTTTCAAAGAACTTTTAATATGCAATGCTGGCCTTAGATATATAAGCATGATTGTCACCTCTTCCAGGGGCACAACATATATTTGTAAACATTGTTTCCTTTAAGAAATGGGCTCCAGGTTATTTTTTTTTTGTATTATTACTTTTTAAAAATAATAAATAATCCTTGTTTTTTGTGTTGTATTGTATATATACCAATTATTTCACACAAGCATATATATATATATATATATATTTTTTTTTTTTCCAGAATCTTCTTTTTAACCCAGCTAAACCATTTCCTAGAGGTCAGAATTTTGTTTACCACGATATAGACTTAATGGTTGATTGTTTTGTATCTTGTTTTCGCCTTAAACCTCAAAACAATGAAGCTTTAAAAGTTTGTTTGAATCCCAACGTCCAGTATATTTATCATTATATTTTGGTGACTTCTTTATATCGGTAAGCATGATTTAATGCCTAAAATTACTATATTTTTATGATTGTTTCAATGAATTATTTTTTAGTAAATAATTTTTTTTGTTTTTTTGATATTGTTTGTCACAGAGATGCCCATCCCCCCAAGGCCGATGGTGCATGCCCCCACAAAATATTATTGCCTCCTCAATTATATAATTATTATGTACCTATATGAGATGTTATATAATGTTAGTTTAAAAGATAGTAGATATAATATTGTTTTGTTTCTCGAGGATATCAAAGGCACAATACATTAGATCAAAGACAATTACTGTTAGTAAAGGCAATTAGAATCAACAAGTAACATCAGTAATAGTCATATTGGACCCACATTTGAAAGACCACTGGACTTAAAAGGCATACAAGATGAAGGCCAAATATAGTATAACTACTTTTACCCCTCATATTCCTGTCCATCCCAACTACCTCCTCGCATCAGACGCTTAATCTTGTTGGAGGTGATGGGAACTTTGATGAGATTTTCGAATTTTTTTATTAATATTACACAGGGAATTGTCATGTGCGGAATGAGAGGACAGGTAGGAATTAAGGATTAGAATCTATAGGTCACTAATTTTAGCTTTAATTGTTTGGAGAAAAACTGTCATCACCACGTATGCCAATGTGTCCTATGAGTTAATAATGATTCAATAATTGCATCCCAAACTCTCCAATCATCATCATCATCATCTGTGGCGCTACAGCCCAGTTTGGACCTTGGCCTCCTCAATGAGCCTTCGCCATGTAGCTCGGTCTTGTGCGGCTGCTCTCCAGTTGCGGACATTCAGAAGTTCCTGAAATCCCTGATGACAGCATCCTCCCATCTCAGCCTTGGCCTGCCTCTTCCTCTGGTCCGATGCAGCCTACAGTCCAGCAACTTCCTCGGGATCTCATCCGCTTGCATCCTGACGACATGGCCAGCCCAGCGCAGCCTCCCCAGCCTTATGTGTCGCAACACGTCTCTCTCACCGAACAGCTCGTAGACCTCCCTGTTGGTTCGCCTTCTCCAATTCTCGCCTACCTTGACACCACCAAATATTTGGCGCAGAATTTTTCTTTCGAAGACCAAGATCTCCTTTTCTTCAGCACTTGTCAGGGTCCATGCTTCTGATCCGTAAGTGAGGACTGGCCGGATTAGTGTCTTGTTAGAGCTGGCATTTGGTGCAGCGTGTGACAGCTCGACTCCTCAAGTGCTTCCTAAGTCCAAAGTAGCATCTGTTGGCCTTCACTAGGCGCTGGCTTGTTTCCAGGATGATCCTGTTATTGCTGCTGACCACTGAACCTAAATAGGTGAACTGGGGCGAATCCTGTGTTGTTTCCGTGTGATCAGTCCGGCTATTTCTCGTTGAGGTTTCATGATACTTAAGGGTTTGAGGGGAGCAGGTTATCAGCCTACTTTCTCTGAAAACTCTCCAATCACACATCACAAACCTCGAAGAATGGTGTCAAAATTGGAGGATAAAATAAATTCCGTCAAATTACCTTTACCCTTCGTCATAAACCTATGACTTCCTGTCCTACAGTATCCTTCAATAATACCCCGCTTACTCCTGTTGAACAAATCCGGTACTTTGGACTCCACTTGGACAAACATCCAATGTGGAATCCTTATACCAGACTTAAAGGATAAGAAACCTCTCGAAGTTTCCGACTACTCCAGTACTTACTAGACAAACGCTCTAAGCTCTCAGTTAATTTTACAAAAGACTCATATACGTGAGCATTTCCATCTGACCGCTCATCTTTTTCCATTACCGAAAACCCCTTCGATCCTGATAAGTTTTATTTTCTCGATATCTCTCCTACTGACCTACTCTCTGCCACCCTTATATCCAAAACGAACGATTATGGTCAAATACCTGTTAAAGTTATCAAACTCTGCCTTCCAGCCTTACTATCCGCACTTCTACACATATATAATTTCTCTCTCCACAATTCCATTTTTCCCAAATCGTGGAAAAGACAGGGTGGCGACCGACCTGGAAATCCTGGAAAAGTCAGGGAGAAGTCAGGGAAAAATTGTAAAAGTCAGGGAATTTTTTTAGTTCAAAAATATTTTTTTTAAATTTAAAATAAAAATAATTCGAGGATGGGAAATTTAAATATAGATTGCAGCCTTGGTTATTATGAATTCCTGAGTATTTCCTTAATGTTATAAATTATAACTACGTCAGAATTCCAACTTTCAGCGCCCACCGTATTGTATGTATCGTAATCTACATTACGTTCTCCCCTTAATTTATTGGCAGAAAAATAAATGGAAACTCCAAATCATTATTAATTACCAGCTTTATTTCATGTATTAATTATTAATAATAAAAATTACAATTGAAAACTTTGACATCCGCCGACACGGCGAACTTCTATGAAAGCGAATGACTGTGATGCCAATGAGCGTCAAAAGTTTGTTAGTACTAAAGATGGGCAGTGCTCGATTACTTTCATGATTTGAGTACTCAGGTATCAGGAAAAAGTATCGAGTACTTTCTGTACTCGGCCTGACATCGGCGAGTACCGAGAGTACTCACGCAGCGTTAATCATGATTTAGTTAAGTACAGAAAGTACCCGTGGTGTTATATCGTAAAGTACTCAGCCAAATTCCTCTAAGTACTTTTTATTTTTCAACTACTCCGTCATTATTATAAAGAGTATAAATGTTTTCTTTTATTTACTTCAATAATAGCGGTCATATTCGACCTGACCAACCCAAACCCCCTGTCGAGGTATATGTAATGCAGAGGTGGCAGTATATGCAAGTTATCAGAAGGCCTCGACAGTGTGTTCAGTATTTAGGGTGAGATGACTGAATGGATGAAGGAAGGTGAATAGATGGATAGCCTCGAGTGACAGGCGGATCAGCACCCAATCACTCTCGGCTTGCGGTGTAAGGGATCAGCCTTAACATTCCGCAAGGATGGTAATCACAACCAGAGGGATCAATCTCCAGAATCAGTATATAGGACTGCAAGCGGACCGATCAGCGTCCAACTTACATGGATTAAGAGAAAAGGATAAAGTTAGAAGGTTGTTGTTAAATAAGAAGAGCAGACTGAGGTGAACCAAAAGCGTATAAGATACACATACTGACCATCTGCATATAGGTCTACACCCTGAAGGGGTGGAGCTCCGTAGAACTGACAACTTGAGGTTTGACTGGAGTATTCATTCCACCAAGACTAAACCGGCTACCAAGAGCCGTTACTATAACAATTATTTTGAGCTTTGGTCAGTATATGTTATCACCATTAAACTTTATTAATCAAAAGTATTTACAATGAATATGCATATTTCAATTTACAATTTAAGTATTTTATAATAACACAATAAGAAATAAAGGATACAATTTTGGTATGTTGCTGATAATTGATATCAGATTAACCAACATGTTTTGGGGGCCCTTTTTATAAAAATATACTGTCGGATTTGAGATAGTGCCCCCGGGCATCGAATTTTCATAACTTTTCCAATTTAATCAATACCAGTGTCGACTATTAGGTTTTGGGGGGTGCTTTTTATGAAAATGATGTCGGATTTCAGATAGTACTCCTGGGCCGCGACTTTTTGTAAAATTTCAGATTTAATCAATATAAGGCTCGACTATCGGGTTTTAGGAAACGCTTTTTAGGAAAATGATGTCGGATTTGAGATAGTGCTCCCGGGCCCCAACTTTTTGTAACATTTCAGATTTAATCGATATTAGGGTCAACTATTAGGTTTTGGGGGGCGCATTTTATGAAAATGATGTCGAATTTGAAATAGTGCCCTTGGGCCCCGACTATTTGTAACATTTCAGATTTAATCGATATTAGGGTCAACTATTAGGTTTTGGGGGGCGCATTTTATGAAAATGATGTCGAATTTGAGATAGTGCCCTCGGGCAACGACTTTTTGTAAAATTTCAGATTTAATCTATATTAGGGTCAATTATTTGATTTTGGGGGCTCTTTTTATGAAAATGATGTCAGATTTCAGATAGTGCCCCCGGGCCCCGACTTTTTGCAATATTTCATATTTAATCGATATTAAGGTCAACTATTAGGTTTTGGGGGGCTCATTTTATGAAAATGATGTCAAATTTCAGATAGTGCCCCTGGGCCCCGACATTTGATACTTTTCCGATTTAATCAATACCAGGGTCGGCTATTAGGTTTTGGGGGGTGCTTTTTATGAAAATGATGTCGGATTTCAGATAGTGCCCCCGGGCACTGACGTTTTGTAACATTTCAGATTTAATCGATATAAGGCTCGACTATCGGGTTTTAGGAAGTGCTTTTTAGGAAAATGATGTCGGATTTGAGATAGTGCCCTCAGGCCACGACTTTTTGTAACATTTCAGATTTAATCGATATTAGGGTCAATTATTAGGTTTTGGGGGGCGCATTTTATGAAAATGATGTCGAATTTACTCCAAAATGTTACAGAAAGTCGGTGCCCGAGGGCCCTATCTTAAATCAGACATTGTCTTCATAAAAAGCGCCCCCCAAACCCTAATAATCGACCCTGATGTTGATATAGTCCGAAATGTTAGAAAAAGTCGGTGCCCGGGGGCCCTATTTCAAATCCGACAGAATTTTCATAATTAAAAAACTATGCCCCCATAAGATAGAAATGGACATAAATATGGAAGAAATATTAAATATTCTACTCCTGTAATTTTTATAATGAAGTACTCGATTACTTTGAAAAGTACTCAGAGTAAAATATTTCTGAGTTGATTTGAAAATGAAAAGTACTCAGGAGGACAGCTGATTACTTTTTGTACTCATCAATAATGATGTCGAGTAGTGATTAAAGTACTCGGTGCTCGAACCGAGTTTGAGTAAAATAGTCTGTAATTTGGACTTTTTACTCAGAGTACTTTTTGCCCATCTCTAGTTAGTACCATTATCAGTGTATGAACTCTAATCAGAAACTCAGTCTAGAGATGTCCAACAAGTAGTATTGTTCCAAAACTTGATTTTACCGTTAGTACAGGAAAAGT